CCTGAAACTTTTCAATTTGGAAAAAGCATCCACTATAAGATAATAGTTCTCCCATATAAAATCTAGATGTATCCGTTCACATGCCTGGATAGTCTCCTTCCAGCTATTACCCTTCCTCTTTCTTGACAAATTCAACCATACATTATACGTTTTATACTCTAAAACTTTACCTAAGCATAGAAACTATAAGAGACAATATTAATAAATTGAAAGATCCCAAAAAATCTACTTGCATTGGCCTTAAAAAGCGTTCAAGAGACAATATTCAGAATAAATGTAGTTTGCAACAAATTATCAAAGAAAAAAGAGGATTAAATTTTGTTCATTTGACTTTTAGTTTAATGATAAGCTAAGAAAAAAAATCTCTATTAACAGCTAACCAAAAGAAGAAACGATACTATTTCGCAAAAAAATATAAAGATTGGATTTTTATCGAATAGTCAAAAGTTGTTTTTTTATGAATCCAAGTTTATATTGAATTTGAGGGTATTTGCAATTTTGTAAGAAAGGCAAAACATTCCATCATGAAAAATTAAATTTAATTGGGATATGAGTATCAGCACTGCCAATCATTGTTCAAAACAATGCCCAAAAGGTATCAGCCGTTATTAAGACTAAATGAGACGTCTCTAAATTTTGACCCATATTAATGAGCGCTATATCTATGAATCAAGAAGATGATTTTGTTTATGCCATCTTGACCCTTTTTTAAAAAGATTCTTGTTTATATGTGCAATTATATGTATATTTAATGTTATAATTAAAAAAAATATATATTTTGTCCTTTCTTAACCCGTTACTGGTTAACGGTGCATATATGCACCACCTCCTATATACCTTATTTTAACATAGTAGTTTTTTTTTTAAAAATAATAAAAAAGATTTTTATATAGTTCAGACATTGTACTTCAAAACTGGAAAAGAAAAATATGAAAAAAATATTTTTTTATGCCCCTAAGAAACCCTCAAACTTTGCGAATTTATGAGGTCTAAAATGCAAAATTTTCTAAGTGATCTCACGAGCATATTATAAAATTATTTCGATGAAAACTAGTGTGTATATATTCTTTATAGATATATCAATATTTATCAATCATTTTTGAATTTTTAAATAATTAATATTTTAGTAGGTAACCACATAAAGTTGACTGGTGCATATATGCACCGTTAACCATCTAGCAGTATATATTATTTAAAAAAATTCAAACAAATGAAATTTAACATAATGAATTATAATTTTTTATATTATACTTAAAACCACTACCGTCACTAAGGGTGGGAAGGGGAGGGGTGGGTGGCTCGAGCCCCTTAAGAATTTTTAAAAAAAATTTTATACCCAAAAAAGACCTTTTGAAAATAATTTAAAAAAATTTTTTTCCCCTGAGATTAAATCGAATAATATATTGTTCCTATTATAATTTTTTATCCCGATCAAATTATATGAAATTATTAGGTTCATAAATATTCAAAAGTTTAAAATTATTTTTAGCCTCTTCCTTTCTGAAGATTTTATTTTATTTATATAAAATATTATGCACCTGTTTTGTCAATTCAATCAAAATTATCAAAATAATAGATGACTAATAAAAAAATCAAGATTCTACGAAAATAATTTGTCTAGATATTTAATTTTTAATAAATTTTTTTAATGAAACGTTTTCTAACAATTGAACAAGCGCTTGCTCAACTTTTTGAAGAGGAACCAATTGAAGAAAGAGATATGGTTATAATTCCGCCAAACCCCTCTGCAGTTAGTGATGAAGAAGATTTCGATGAAAATGACTTAACAAATGTCGGAGTTTTGCCTTCAGATACAGCTGGAGAATTGGAGATTCATAATTCAGTTGATGACGACCTTCCAGAACCATATTCTACAAGAAGCTATTCTCGAATTTCTCACAATTTAAAATGGAGAAAAACGGATGCAATATATTCTTCAAGCCCTTTCAATGGAGAAAAGGAAGATGTAATAAAACTTGAAAATGATTTACATGGTAAAAGTCCATCAGATATATTTTGTTTAATTTTCGACGAAGACTTATATTCCCTAATTGTAGAACAAAGTAATATTTATGCTAAACAAATATGCATAACCATCCAAGATATTCAGAGATTTATTGGAATTCTATTATTTACTGGATTTCATTCTCTCCCACAAGAAAGAATGTACTGGTCTTATGACAGCGATATTTCTATTCCAATAATCCGGGATACAATGACCCAATTACAATTTCGAAATTTGAAATATAATATCCATTTGGCAGACAATACTAAAATAGATATACATGATAGATTTTATAAAGTTAGGCCTTACATTAATATATTGAATAATAAATTTCAGCAATTCGGAATTTTTAAACATCATTTATCAATAGATGAACAGATGATACCATATCGAGGAAGACATTCTTGCAAAATGTTCATAAAAAGAAAACCAATTAGATTCGGATACAAGTCTTGGATATTGGCCTCTTCCGACGGTTACGTATTCTCATTTGATATATATCAAGGAAAAAGCGAAAATAAATATGAATATGGATTAGGTGGAAATGTAATCATAAAATTATTAAAGGCATTGCAAAAACCAAATTATCATAAAATATATTTTGATAATTTCTTTACATCATTTAAACTCTTGTCATACTTAAAACAAATGGGATATTTTGCAACTGGAACTGTGAGGGACAATAGAATAGAGCATTGCCCAGTTGAATCTATAAAGGTTGTAGCAAAAAAAGAAAGAGGATATTATGATTATAGGTTTGAAAAATTAAACGAAATATTTGTAGTTCGTTGGAATGATAATTCGGTGGTGACCGTTGCATCGACATGCCACACTATCTCTTTGCTTTCTAATGTTTCAAGGTATTCTAAGAAAATATCTTCTAAAATAAAAATTCCTCAGCCAAATATGGTAACTGCTTATAACAAACACATGGGTGGAGTTGATCTATGTGATAATCTAATATCTACATATAGAATAAAAATAAGAGGAAAAAAATGGTGGTGGCCAATATTCACCAATTTTATTGATGTAGCTTTGGTAAATTCATGGAAAATCTGGAAATTCGTGAATCGAGATGACAAGAAGAGTTTGCTTGCATTTAGACGAGAAGTTACTAACTACCTCCTTCGAACGCCAGTAAAAATTGAAAAAATTCAAGTACAGGTCACGCCAGCCAGTTTGCATTACAGTGTGAAAACCCTATTGATTCATCTGGACATTATTTATCCAAAATTATAGATGGAAAAAGACGAAGATGCAGATATTGCCATACGCACTCAAGATATATGTGCCAAACATGTCAAATCGCACTCCATATTAAATGTTTCAAGGATTTTCATAATATATAAACATTTTCTCGTTTTTATTATAAATTACAAAAAAAGAATAAAGATATTTGTTGTTTTTTTGATCTTATAGTATTTTATATAATTTTTATCTTTTTTAACCTCTTAATGGTTAACGGTGCATATATGCACCAGGCTAGATTTTCTATTTAGGATTATTTTTTTTGGCTGATTTTTTTAGAATATCATATTTGAGCATTAATCAATATAATTTGAAAAAATTGAGCATTTTTATCCACTAGAAAAATCTTGACCATTAATGGGTTAATAAAGCGTTTTATATTGAATTGCATAAAAATAAAAACTGTATTTTGGATTTTGGGTAGTATATTTCAAAAGGGAAATATGTTTGAAATATAAAAATAAAGTGGAGAAAATCAAAAATACCTTATTAAAATTTTTGATAAGTGGAGACCTGCCCGAAAGCCAGGCAAATGGGGGTTTGGGGTCGAATCTCTCACAAAAAATTGTAACCCACCCCTGTATAAATCGTGGCTATGCCATTGCTTACTTCCTGAAAAATTAATTATTTACTCCCATAATTGTATCAATTTTATGTATTTTTTTCTACTATTTTCAAACTTTAAATTCCAAAATAAGGGACCTCACAAATTTTATTCTAGAGTTTTAAACTAATTATGGTTCTTTTCTGAGAACACAATTATAATATATATTTTTTTTATTTATATACTATTTTTATATGGTTTAATAAAATAAATTATAAACGAATTATCTTACATTATTAAATCTATAAATAATTTATTTATATAGAACATCATAACTTTGATTAAGTATTAGATATAAAAATTAATATTTTAATATGTTTATATTTAATAAAATTGATGGAAATAGTTAATATAGCTTAAAATTAAAATTCTTAATTTTGTTAAATCAATACCCATTAAAAAAAATGTTTATCTTTGCCTATTTTATTTATGTATTATTTTGTTAGAAATGATTTTCACCCAAAATCTATAAAAAATTACACTTGTTTAGTAGCTATTTTAGCATAAAATATTGACTGACCCTTCCAACTAAAATAAAATATCGATCAGTTATATTTGTATTAAAAAAATAGATATTATATATATACATATATCAACTTTTTAGTTTACAATCAGGTTTTTATTGATAAAATATCAATTTCAATATGATTTATTAATATTTATTTTTACAACAATTCATTTTCTAAATGAGTCTCATGAAGCATTAAGATTCTATGTACAAGGTAATATTACACTGAGATAATTTTTTATAAAAAATCAAGATTGTCAACCTTAATAGTCTGGATGAAATTTTAAAATGATGTGTCACATATATTCTATAATAATTATAAAAGTAACAAATAAAATATTTTAAAAATAAGTTATAAACAAATTGTCTTTTGATTAATATACTATTAATCTATTTTGGTAAAATTTGGGAGAAGATTATACTTATAATTTTATTAAAAATTTATATAAAACAAGAATAGATATTTGTTTTTATTTAAAATATTTATGCAATTTTCAATATCTATCTTTTGTATTTAATGGGTGTTAAAAAATTGAATATATCTTATGCTACTAACATATACACCAGCACATTTATATTGAAAGTTCAATTTAACTTGAAACTTGAGATATTACATTTATAGAAAATTATCATACCTTATACATTGATTTGGGAATTTTTGGATCTTTTTGCAAAATTTATGAAAACTTAGATCTTTATGTAAGGGAATTGTTTTTTCATATACTTCATTATTAGAAATATTCATGCTAGATATGAAAAAATGATAAATTAAAAGAATGTATATACTACTTTATTGAATTGTATAATTTTTCATTGTTATTTCCTTCATCAACTATGTCTAAATTACAATCATCTTCAGATATACTTTCAATATAATAAGATATAAATGATAATTTATTAGTATTAATGAATATGTTATTTGATTTTTGATTTGATTTATTTAATAATGTTCTATTCCAGTCTGATAATTCTTTTTGATCTTTATTCTCAAATAAATTAAAATCAAAATCTAATGGCATTTTATCCATTTGATTTTGAGGATCTGAAGCAATTATATTTGTATTTTTTAAATCCTCCCCATTCAATCCAGACATACCCCAATCATCTTCTAACTCTTGTTTTAAGAATTGTGAATTTTGAGATAAAATATTTTCTTTCACTTGGTGACTTTTCATGCCCCTATAAATCTTGATCCTGTTATTCAGGTCATTATCTATCTTAGCCTTGGATAAGCACTGTACATTGTTGCATAAAAAAATATATATTGTTCTTTGAAATATTTTATCTATAGGGCAAAAAAGTTGGCATACAAATATCATAATTCTTCCACATGTATTACAATATATTTTATTGATCTCTTCATTAATCCAATCCTCAAATATAATAATTATAATATAAAAAGAAATAATTTACTGGACATCCGCCAATTTTATTTGTAGTAAAATCTGTCCAGCATATTGGTTCAATTCTTTCTCCAATGAAACCAATGAGGACGGGAGAATTCGTGATTTCAAAATTAAATCTTGAGGCTGAAAACTTCATTTTGTCATTGAACGCATTGAACGTGATAACAGATGTTTAACAGTAACATACCTAAATTTAAGAAAAATAAAGTAATATCTGTTATAAGTCAAGGGAACTGTCATATAAATCATTATGAAATGAAACTGTCAAATATTAACTAAAGAAACATTTAAAAGGCTATGATTTTTTTTAACAGCATATTATTCAAAAGAGAGAGTATTGTTATATATTACACATTTAGTCGAGGGTTATTTATTACATATAGATAGGCTTTGTAGTATCTACTTATATTTAAAAATTATTTTTCCTCCTTTTTTCATTCTTTTCTTTCGGCGCAGGTTCTCGAGCCCTCTAAAAAATTTGAATAGCCCCCTGAAGCAAAATTTTTTTTTAATGGTGATTTAATATCCCCATGAAAAAAAATAAATTTTTTTGATTGCTCCCTGAACGATTTCTTTTATAATTCTATTAAGTAATATATATTTTATTTTATTATTTAAAAATTAAAAAGACTATCTAATTTTTTACTAAATGAATACTATTTTAATTAATATATTAGATTAATGCATATAAATTATATTTTCACCATGTCAGCTTGCAATCAAATTCTGTGTTAAAAATAGAATTATCACTCATTAAAAATTAAATTAACAGTTGAATTTTAATTAACTTTTACTATTTAAATTATTATACAATCCCAATTAAATAAATATAATCATTTATTAATTGAAAATTAACAAATATAATATTATGATTCGCCGAGCTTAAAATCATTAATCACCTATATTATTCATTTTTAAATTTAACTACCATGCCTCTCCCTATAAATATTAAAAATATTTTCAAGGTACAAATAAAAATAAGTATAAAAGATTTCTTTATAAAAGGTAAGTAGATTTATAGTTTATATTCCTCTATTATATATAATTGGTAATAAAATATTAGTTAAAATGGCACTTTTACAGACGTATTTGGCAGTTTTTATATTACAGTTAATATTTAATATAATTTACTAATGAATGCTTTTGATAAAAAATGTAAAAAACAATTTGCATTCAATTTTTTAACGCCATCTATTTATTTAAAATATTAAAAATATTAAACATCTTATTATTCATTTCACAATGAATGTAATTAATTAGATATCTTTTCCTCTCTTTTTTTACGTGTTATTAAGTAAGCTATAATCTTCTTTGAAAAACAGTTTTGAGTTAAATTTTTAATACGAGTATATTTTTGATATTATTACAAATTACTATTATTTTAAGATATAACATATCAACTTGAGGTGGTGCGACAATAATATATAAAATCTTAATTGCTTTCATCATATCACTCTGAGTTTTATTTTATAGTTACAAAATGTTTCATTTCTAATCTAGCCGTGTAAATAACTTATAGCTTCAATATATTTACATAATTTCTTCTAAAGATTTTTAGTGTTTTTGTTTTATCAATTTATCTAACATAAAAATTCTGATATGAGTTAACATCGTGAGTGTCATGACTATGATTGCAAATAGCATCTATTATGTGTGGCTATGTAATTTAATATTATTACTACAGCTGCTAAGAGCATATGATTGCATATTTTAGATAAGCAATAATGATGGTCAACTGTGTAGTCGTTTATATATCATTAAAAATGTAGGATAATTTTTTAGAAATTTAATATCTCACAAAAAATTTTCTCGATTATTTATTTAGCTTCTATCATGTTATCTAAGAGAAAGCTCTAACCACTATATAGTTTTATGATTTGGATTGGTCGTTTATATTCTTTTCTTCAAAAATTGTTGGTTTGGTTAGGCCTATAAAATTTTCCTTATTAGTCGCTTCTACAAAACATTGTCTAAAATGGCAACAGATTATTAGTTTCATGACCTTTTGTCAATATAAGTTGATTATTGCCTATGTGGTTTTTAAAAACCATTATTAATTGAGCCATATGTATGAATTAATTAACCTTTTTTATCACTTGTAATCAATGATATATATAACTAAAAAGTATAATATATTAATTATAAAACCTGGCCGAAGGCCATTGGTATGGGGGCTTCGTCCCCCATAAATTTTTTTTTAGTTGAGCTCCCTGAGATTGTAAAGGCTAGCAACGCCCCTGCATTGTCAACAATATAAAAGTTAAATTTAATGTTTTAAGATTAAATTTAGATGAATAAAATTTAGAAGGTTTTTATTATTGAAATGAGAAACATCTTTCATGTATCCATTCCCCTCATTTTTATTTTCGAAGGCAATGCGAATATTTATCTCTTTTAAAATTTTTTTTAATTCCCATCCCTGTATATGGAGGCAAATGACTCCTATTCCTGGTTCTATAAACAGTTAGCGAATAAAAACACGGTCCATTATTATATATTTTAGTTAACCGAATATTGTGCATTCTTCAAGACATTAAGGCCCTCTCATTATTACCACATGATTTTAGAAAATATAACCATTATGATCAGGTAATCACTAGAGACCGCCAGGTCTGACAATTTTTTATCTTAAGTCGGGCTGTTTTTATAAAAGGGTAATGGGAAAAAAATGTCTCCATATATCTTTGAATCAGTTAGTAAGCTTCTAGGTGTTTCAACAAAGCTTTCTATTGTGATAATCTTCCGCTCCTCCGTTTTCTTAATTTCGGGTAGACCTATTCAAAGACTAATATAAATATTATATTATTCGATATTCGTATGAATAATGAAATTTACTATTCATATTCTTACTAAACTAATAATCAAATCTAATATTTGTATTAAATTTATTATTTATAAAAAAATTTATTCAGAAATACATTGAGAGAATTTTTTCAAATTTTTAATACTCTACCTAAAATAAGCAGTTATTTTTTGAAATAAAATCTGAGCTTAGTTGGTTCAAGTATTAGATAAAAAAAATTAGATTTTTACTACCAACTATTCTTTCTCCACAAATATATTATTCATATGCAATTTATGGTTCAATTAAGGTATCGAATCGTGAGCCAATTTGGAGGGCTATAAAACAATATATATTTTAGCAAGACCACTTCAAATTTTTATGAAATAGAAAAATTAAATTCCAATATTAAATTACATAAATTTTGGCGACAAGTCAATAAAAAGAATTTAAGTCCTTCAAAACCTGAGAATTTGCAAGATTTTAATAAAGTTTAGGTTAAGTAAATTCACAAAGAAAGTTGACAGTTCTGATAAGAAATACTTTTTACCAAGCGGATAATCTTTTTATCCATAAGGCCATATTCTCAGCTTACAATAACAGTATTTTACAGTAGGATTTCACCATTGACATATGTCATTGGATAAACCTATAAGGCTACATAATATCGGCTTTTCAACAAAATAAATTTCATGTTGAGTTTACAAAAACCACACAGTAATGATATGAAATTTTTATTTATAAATTTTTTCTCTACCTGTAATGGTGGTTAACCCGAAGCCAGTTTCCACTCTTTATGCTTTTCAATTTACGGTCCTAAGTATTGATATTTATGAGAGCCATTTGTATTTAGGTTGTCTTAGGTCTTAACCAGGGTTGCTATGTCTCCCCCAATTAGCGGGAGACTCCCGCAATTTTATAGTTTACACGCAGACATCTCACTACCGCAATTGGAAATCTCCTGCAAAAATCTACCACAATATTTTAATTTCTCCCGCACAATCTCTTTTTAGCATTTTAACGTTTTTATTATATAAATAATAATTTTGAGACAGTAATTGTTTATTTTTATATTTTTAAAATAAATTTTTTGTTCGAAAAACATGTCTAGTTTGTAAATTTCTTTCTATCCTGTTCATTTTTATCCAATAATAAATCAACATCATTCATTTCATTAATATTTTATCAATTTTCAGTGTTTGTATATAACATTATAGGGCTTGGTGCTTAATTATTAAGTTCAGGTAAAATTAAATATATAATTTCAATGACAGTGTATTTTATTTATTATAGTTCAATCACATTATTAATAATACAGATGCAACTACAGTTGCGGAAATCATATAAACCTATGTAATTCAACATTCACAGAGATATCTATCATTACAATGTGGGTCGAATCTTTTCCCCATAATATTTAACGACTCAAATATATGTATAAACTTTACTTGTGATAAACAAAATGAACAAGGCTATCACAAATGTTTTAGGAACTAAATCCAAGAGGTATTCTAGACTATTTGAAAGGTCGACATCCATATGCAATTTTAACAGATGCATCTAATAAGGGAAATATTAAAACATTTTCCTTGATCCTTCACTATTTCAACAAAGATAAGGGCATTTCAATAAAACTGTTAAAAATTATTTCCTCGGATAGTTAAAAAGCCAACGATATATCTAACCACATAATGGTAAATATAGCTGACTCAGAGTTATCAATGAGTTACTTGTCAGCTTTCTGCGCTGATAATGGCTCTGTGAATTTGGCAAAAACCTAAGTGTATTTACCGGGTTGTCTTTACTTTACCAAGCCATCGTTCGGTTTGAAAAGAAGACTGCACCATGAACATGGGTGGCGTATTGCGTGGTGATCATGAATGTTAATGACGTTACCACTCAACTTATCCAAGGAAATCATAAGCCAAATTTCTTTGGAGGGTGGAATGTTGAATATGTTGATCTATGTTATTTTATTATTTATTTTGTCAATTGATTTATTTTTTTATATTAAATTTGTATTTAAATTTAATCGGTGAAAATTTTATATTAACATTTTTTTTTATACATCAATTTGTATTAGTTATTTTTTTTATTATGGTTTAAAAAAAAAGATATATAAAAAGAATAAAAAAATGTAATTTATCTTTGAAAAATAAATTGTAAATAATTATAATAAAATAAAATCATAACCAATATAAAATGTGATATAATTATCTATCAAATAATAAATGTGGATATTAATACAATTCCAACATGTTGAAATTGAATTAATTCCACGTTTTATTATAGTTAGATAATTATATTACATTTTATTTTTAATCCTAATTTAAATTTTATTATATGATAAATTACATTTTTATTTTTAAAGATCAATTACATTTTTTTTATCCTTTTATATATCTTTTTTTTAAACAATA